TCATCGAAGAGAATAGACACACATACTCACACCCAAATGGTGATAATGATTATAAACATAATGATGTTCATGTTTGAGTATAACTCAACTGTGTTTTTGGTTAAAGAATACTCTCTTCGAAAATGAAAAACAACAAAAACAATCAAATATGATGGAAACTTCTCCAAAATCCTGACGGCCAGGGATGACAATCACACATTGAAGCTGGAAAAGGTACCATGTTTATGAAGAGTTGTTCACTGTTTCGAGCATGTAGGTAGGTCCATAAAAATATTTTTGAAAAACGAAACATTTAAGGGTATTTGAAGAATATTTTAAAATATCAAGGATCAGAGGTTTCAGGAACAGATTAACAAAAAAAATCATGAAAAAATATAAAAAACCAAGATTTGAGGGTTCTGTGGAAAAATTTTACTACTTCATTCAATTTCTTCAATAATTAAAGAAACGATTATTAGGTAGAGCTAAAAATCGAAAACACGATTATCTGAGTTTTGAAAGTTTACATCGTGAAGTTACCTAATAGAGGGGAAAATTTGTCCCTTTTTTAATTTTTATGAAATGTTTAAATTGGGATTACTTGGTACATAGTGTCTTCGTCAATATTACGGATAACAATAGACGAATTATTTTGGTCGAAAATTTGAGGGGTAAACATTTTGGAAAGAGTTTACAATTTTCAAAATATCAAGAAAACCATTTTATAAAAAACACGATTAGATAGCTGGGAATAAAATTTATTAAAACTTAATGACATAAAATATCTAAACAAGTTTGAAGTCACCTGATGTTCTGAAAAAAATAAAAATAACTGCAGAAATTAATGATCCTGGGAAAAAAGGTAAAAAAAACACACGATTTGAAAATAGCCATCAGAAAAAATAAAAATAAAACAACCATAATCTGATTGTTCTTTAAATATATTTAAGAATTTACGTTTTGATGGTTCTGTAAAAGATATAAAAAATTCACCACCTCAGAGTTCTCATAAAATTCAAAACCTGAATTAAAGTTTTTATAGCCTCAAAATTATATAAACAAAACAGCATTTGATTGTTCTGCGGAAAATATTTTAAAATCCAGATATTGGGAGTCCTTAAAAATAAAATTAAAAAAATCCATCCATCACACATTGATCTGAAAAATGTGTGAAAAAAGAAAGAAACATATTCTTAACAAGTAAGCAAAGGCTACAGTCGAGCGGGGCCGACCGTTGAATACCCTACAACACTATAATAAACGATACAGTTTATATGGGCGAGATACTCAAAAGGATTCCAGAAGATATTGTGACAAATAATAAAAAAAACCATCAGGTTTCGTTCTATAATTTTCGAATAATAGCAACCTAAACTAATTTCCTCATTTCCAATTTATTGGTAGATGTTGCACTTAAATGGTTTTCTTAGATCTGGAACCAATATTTCCCAAAGACCTATAATCTCTCAGAAGTGGCAAAAGATTAACATTTATTATTGGTTTTTGACTGAAATGCATCTATATGAGATACAGACATTTGACTATATTCTCCAACGAAATCAGCGTTAACGAAATATTGTGAATTCTCCAAAAAGTCACTGGAATGGACATTTTCGTATTTTGTCTACAAAAGTTGGCAAACTATTTCACACATTGAATATTTTTGGATGGCCATCCAAAACTGCTTGGCTTTTGCAATGTCCGGTAACCCCCATTCAAATGTGCGTGAGGATCGGGCGATAATTACGACCTGCAGACAATTTTGCAGTTTTTTGGTCCATTTCAGCCCCTAAATATATGGCGATCATCTCCAAAAAGAGTAGGCTTCTATTCTGACCCTCATCTTATCTCCATGCAAAATTTCGTAAGGATCGGGCCATAAATGCGATCTGTATATGATATCCTGATATCCTAACTACTTAGTTTTGTTAGCTGTAGAAATATTACCAAATGTTTAATTCAAAATGAAAATATGCCAAAAATATGACAAAATTGAAAAAATATGAGAAAATTTTACAAAATCAATATTTTCATCTTTAGAGAGATATTTTTATGCGATTTTTTTAGACGTGTTTTCTTTCCTGCCAAGAGGCCATTCTGAATTAATGAGAACTGTCGAAATCGGTTCAGCCGTTCTCGACATATAAGAGATTTTTCAAGCATATCTTCTTTGATAAACATATATATCGCACATATTTTGCTATATATCCGTTTTGTTGGATGTTAACATCAATGTAAAGATCAGAAGTAACCTTGTCATGGCTTTGTGATTTCGCCGGGATTTAAAATATTCGCGGTTTAATGAAAAATTTTGAATTTTTTTAACACAAAATATATGGTCTATTTTACCCGCTAAATATTATCCGATCACCACCCAAATTGGTAGGCTTCTTCCCCGCCCTAAACTCTAGCTACATGCGAAATTCCGCGTCGATTGGTTTATAATTGCGACCTGTATAGCTACTGCAAAATCCGACATTTTTTCAGTATTTGGTCCATTTCAACCCCTAAACATTTGGCGATCATCTCCAAAAGAAATAGGGTTCTATACCCCAGTCCCACCTCCATTCTAAATTTCGTGAAGATCGGGCCATAATTGCGACCTGTAGAGTGATTACAAATTAACATGGACAGACGGACAGACGGACAGACGGACGGACGGACATACATAGCTAGATCGACTCAGCTCGGCGAGCTAGGAAGATTCATATATACTTTCCTATGTGGGAAACCAATATTTCGAGGTGTTACATAATTTTTGGGCCAATCAAACTTATAATACCCCCAACACAAAGTGTTGTAGGGTATAAAAATCCAAAAATTACTGGTCATTTGGTTCATCAGAAATTTTATTTAAAAATTCCACAATTATTGGTCTTATGTTCCTAAAAAAACAATTTTTATAAAATTTCCAGTTTGTGTCTCTGATAGTCCTTGAAATAATAGTTTCTTAAATAATACTTGACTATGGGCCTTAAAGTCCTAAAAAAAATATACATTAAAAAATGCAGGATTATTGGTCCGATGGACCATTCCTAACAAATCGGTTGCTCTTTCAAAAATATTTGTCTGTTGATTCTAGAAAAACTTTTGTTAAAAAATACATGATAAGAAAATAACAGTTTTTTGAAAAATCTACGATTATTGCTCAGACGATCTTCGAAAAGAATCATAAAAATTTAATCTTTAATCTGTTGGTCCATCCAAAAAAAAAAAAAAAACTACTAAAATTGGTCTTTTGTTCATAAAAGAAATATTTTTAGAAAAATCCACGATGAAAAAAAGAAACAAAAATTCGAAAAAAAAACAAGTTGGGGTTGGGGCAGTTCTTGAAATAAAATTTTCTTGAAATATGTTCGATAATAGTTCTGTTAGACCTAGAAAACAAAATCATAAAAATTCTAGATTAAGGGATAGATAGATATTCTTCGAAAAAAAAAAAAGAATTTTTAGTTAGTTGGTCCTTAAAAATATCATTGAAATAAATAACCACAACCATTTGCCTTTCGTTACCAGCATTTTTGGAGAGTCCAATTTTGAATCTGCGATGATCCTTGAAATGAAATTTACGATTATGTGTCTGCAAGTCCATGAAAAAATATTCTTCAAAATTACAGACTATTGCTCTGACGCACCTCCAAAAATTTTCTTAAAGATCTATGACTTTTAGTTTGTTTTTCATTCAAAAATATTCTGTGAAAAAATCCCCGATTATTGATATACTGGTCCTAGGGAACATATTTTTAAATAATCTACCATAGAGCTGTCTTTTGAAATTTATTGAAAATTCTCGATTAAGAGTCCAAATGGACAATTTTTGGCCTGTTGGCTCTTCAAAATTATTCACGATTATTTTTAAAAAATTTTTAAACAATTAACTTAAAAAATCCTAGATCTGTTAGTTCAAAGAATATATTCTTAATCTACGATTATATTTATGTTGATCTTTCGAAAATATTCCTAAAATATCATAAAAATACAAGATAATTGTCACTAGGTCCAAAAAACTACTCTTAAAAAAATCGACGACTTTTTTGTCAGGATGGTCCATAGAATTTTTTTTGAAGATCTCCCAATTATAAAAAAATAAAAAAATATAAATACTGCTCTGATGGTCCTTATAAACTATTCTTTTTTTTTAAATATCTACATAAATTGCTCTGATAGATCTTGAATAAATATTCTCAAAAAAATTTACATAAAAGGATTCTGTCAGCTCAGAATAAAAAAATCAACAAATGCTGCTGCGGTTGTCCTTAAAACTAATTTCCTAGGAAAATCCATGTATATCTGTTTGTTATAAATATTCTTACGTTGGCTCTTTATATCCTTAAAATATTTGCTCTGGTCCAGAAGAATGTTAAATGTTACTATGATAACCGATTTTTCGATTATGACATAAAAACATATGATAAAACTAGTCGATTCTTGCAGGTTCTGGAACAGAGCAATTCTTAAAAAACTAAATATTTTTAAGCAAATCCTAGAATAATCCAAGTTTGTAACTCTAATTTCCCTTCAAAAGGTCCATGATTATTGCTTCGATAAAGCTCGAAAAATATTCTAAAAAATCATGATTGTATCCGATAGTTCGAAAAATATGATTGTCTCTTAGGACTTTTTTTCGAAATATGGAAGTTTCAAGCGTTGTTGGTCCTGGAAAGATATGATTAAAAAATTTTAAAATGTATGTATGAAACGCACCATTAAAGCTTTAATGGTCCTTGAAAATTTAGAGTTTTGAAGTCTAAAAATATTGTGAAAACCCCTGATGGTCCTTCGTCCCAACTAGGCATTACTGTGGAAAGTTACAAAATATTGTTCTTACCACATCTGATAATGGTCATAAAGTAAAATTTTGTACTACATTTTAAGAAGGGAGTAATAAGAGAGCATTTCTCATTTGTACCGAGAGAGAGAGAGAGCTAAATGAAAGTACTAACATAAAACACAACCGGTTGGTTGTCTTGTAGTTTGAAGTACTTACTCATTTGTATGGAGCCGTAGCTATGTGTGTATGTATTGCGAGATGATTGCACTCTGAACTCACGCACGTCCAACTAAACAAACGTAACGTATACGTCTTGTGGCACGTAAATCATACGTACCACATACCAAATCTCGGTGTGTTGTGTTGCTTTGGGGGGTTCGTTTCATTCGCGCTGACTGCTGTTGTGTGTCTCAACGTTTTGAGTGGCGAGTGCTGCGCGAACATCCAACAGTCGATGGAAGAAAGACAGAACAACAATGGCCAAACAGAAAAAGAGCCAGCCAGCCATACACGTCAGTTCAGTTCTAGTAAAGTGTTTGATTGAGTGAAAAGTTCGGGAGGAAATTTAGAGAAAATATAACACAAACATACGCAAGGGAAACGCATTTTTTCACTTCAAAATCGATTCAAACAACCAAAAAAAAAAAAGAAAATCTGTAGTCTAATAGAGAAAAAAATATATAGAATATAAAACAAACGGTTTAATAAAATTATATTTTTTTGTAATCAAATCAAATTCGAAACGTCGTAACTTAACTAAATAAGCAACAGAAGCAGCAGCAGCAACAACAACAAATTTAAATTAATATACAAGAAAAAAAGTATTTTTTAAGTGAAGAAAAAAAAATTGTAGAAGAAAAGCCAGCCAGCAAAGGTATGTAGATACATATCTACAATGAAAAGGCAAGAAAAAAGAAAAAAATATGTGAAAATGGAAAAAAGAAAAACGAGCCAGCAGTTGTGGCAAGAAAATAGTTAACAATTAGTTATGTTAACTTTAAAAATAACCTAATTTTTTTGTGTATGTGAACGTATGTTGGTGTGGCTGTGTGTGTTTAATTAATGGTTACTTTTTTTGTTCTTCTTCCGAAACGGAATGCCAGCCAGTGTTTGAAGCCAGCAAGAAAAGTGGTCAAATGGTGGAAAAAGGCAAAAACCTCTTTTTGGGGAGTGTGAGAGTGATGGGAGGAAGAAGGAGGGGGGGGGGCAACGGTGTACAAGTGCAAACGTAAAGTTATGAAAAACTTGTAGTTGGCTGGCTGCACGCATGTAAAACAACAAAAGCAAAAAAACTTAACAAAAAAGGCAACAACTACTGCCAACAAGGAGAAAAATCGATGAAGTTTCAAAAACCAAAAAAAGGAGTGTTAATGTTACTTTTCCCACAGTGTGGTTGAAAAAGTCTGTCTGTGTATGAGTGTGTGTGTTTGTGTTCGAGTGAGAGTGTGTTTGTTCTCGTATATGCTAAAGTAAATTGAATAATGGAATTTGTAAGAAATAAAGTAAAATTCCTCAAATTGAAGAGAAAAAATGAAAAGAAAAAAGATTGCTGTAAATTTTTATTGAAGTTAGTGTTGTAGAAAATATAAAAATTGCAGTTTTCCTTGAAAATATACATATACATACATATGTATGGAAAAATGTACTTAGGATAATAACAAATATTCGGTAAAGTTATTTTTTTTCTTAATACCAGTGATGCCAATCTGGAGCACAACACAATGAATATTCCAGAGACTAAAAAAGTATATAACTATAGAATAGGATTTTATGAATATCCTGAGAAAAATACATATGGAAATTTTCACCTGTTGAAAATAATAATGAGTTGTAAAAAACACCAAATTGGACCCTACATCAGTTGACAACGAAATGTATAGTTGCTGTTGCTATCATTTAAGGAATAACTTTAAGAAAACCCATTTCTGAGCGGAATCTTTCAAGGTCAAGTTCGAAGATGGACTATATCGGTCCACGATGTCGTATAGACCCCATCTAACGGTACCCCCCTGATATTCTGTACTTTGATGATTTAAGGCATATTTTACAATGGAATTGTCTGAAATTCTACACAAGGAGTTCTTGGTGGGCACTTTACCGCCTGTAGGAGAATTGTCTATATAGGTCTACGATATCGTAAATGTCCCATATAACGGTACCTCCCTATATTCGGTATGTTAATGATTTTAGCTACATTTTTCAACGGAATTGTCTAAAAATCCATGCTAGAAGTTCTTTCTAAGCACTTTACGCCCTGGAAGAGAAATGTCTAAATAGGTTCACGATACCGTATAGCCCACATACAACTGTTCCTCCCCTTCCCCCCTTGTCGATATTTTGACGATTTTAGCCACAATATTTACCGTAATTTCTTGCGATGTCGTATTTGAAGTTCCTAATAGGTACTACAGCCTGTGACAGAATATTGTCTATACAAGTCCAGATCCTTCGTATAGCCCTGACGGTACCACCCAATATTTAGTATTTTGATGATTTTAGCTACATTATTCACTGGATTTTTTTTAAGTTTCGTATTTGAATATTGTAATCGCTTATGAGAAAACTTGCCTATGCATGTCCACGTCTTCGTATAGACCCCAATATAATGGCTATATTCGGTATTTTTAAGATTTTAACAGAACCTTAAACGGATTTTATTTTATTTATTTTTTGGTACGGTACCTCTCTAAATTCGGTATTTTGATGATTTTAGCTACATTATTCACCGATTTTTTTCAAGTTTATGACAAAAGTTGACTTTGAAGGTCCACGTCTTGTAATAGACCCCGATATAATGGCTATATTCGGTATATTTAAGATTTTGACAGAATGGTGGAGGATATTCAATTTTGGCCCCGCCGAACTTACTGCTTTTTACTTGTTATACCCCACAACATTGACGTAGGTAGGGGGAGACCTTGACACCAACCCAACCAACAAACCGAAATGGTAAATTTTTAGATATTCTTATAACATTTTGGTTGAAAATCTAATCGGTTGGAAAATCCATACCCCAAAATTATTTCTCACAAGCATTTCTGGCTATGTCGGTTCCCTACATCACACTGTGTTAGAAGGTATTATGGACTTTTTTGTAGCTTGTAAAAAAGGGGAAGATAATACAAGATAAGCGTTGAAATTCTGGTCCTTCCCCTAACTCAAGATTTAACAAATTAAAAAGTATCAGCCGATTTGGCTGAGTTTGACCTACACTAGGATTATTCAAAAATTTGATCCTTTATGGAGCAATATTATCCAAATATGCGTGATGTACCAGATATAGTGGACAGAGGTGTTCCACTTTATCTAATACTGATAAAAATCTTGGGATGTGCTAATCAAAAATGTAACCTTTTGTGTGTGGTGAGGTACAAGAAGAAGTGATCCGACAAATTCCATATTCACGTCAATTCTCTGGTTGAGCGAAATATTTAGATACACCAAGTATGAAAAGAATCACTTACACTTTTCGGTATTACCAAAAGAGATAGACCAAAATCTATCATTTTCATGCCAGATGTGTGAATTTTAAAGAGAATCGGAGCTTGTTTCGCATTTTATAGGCGTTTTGGTTATTCAAAACTTTTGATCCCAATGTGGGGGAGATTCCAGAAGAAGTCCCATATCTACTATCTTCATACCAAATCTTGTATAAATAAAAATATTGGGATGTGTGAAATTCGAAGAGAATCTGATGGTTATTTCGCATTTTACGAGATATACAATTATTCAACATTTTGACATATTATTGGGAAGGTTCCAGAAGGAATGATCCGGCATATTCCATCTTCACACCTGCTCGTTTGTTAATAGAAATATTGGGATGTGCCGAGTTTGGAAATAATCGGATGTTCAATTTGCATTTAATGAGCTTAATGGTTATTCAAAATATTGACCCCTTTGTGGGGGATGTACCAGAAGTAGTGGATCGATATCTTCCATCTTCATTCCAGTTCTTGTGTTAGTAAAAGTATTGGAAGAACCAGGTGCTTTTTTGAATTTAATGATAGTTATAATTATTCAACATTTTGACCCTTTGTGGTTGAGGTACATGACGCACTGAAATGATCTATTCCATTTATGCACCTGATATAGTACTTATACAAATATTGGAATTTGCAAAGTTTGCTCAAAATTGGGATATCCTTTCGTATTCTATCAGGTAAATTTTTTTCTGCGACAATGTTGACCTTATGTGGGAGAGGTGCCAGAAGCAGTGAACCGATATTGTCCTTCCACGAACTCGATCTAAGTTTGATAATATTACGATGTACCAAGTTCGGACCAAATCGGATGCTCCCTTCGAAAGTTATCGTGCGCACCAACCAGCCAGACAGACAGACGGGCGGACAGACGTGCCTAGATCGACTCCAAATGTCCTGAAACAGATTCGGTCCAAAAAGACCTGCCTGATATACGTTTTGGCCGTATCAAATGATATATATATATATATATATATATATATATATATATATATATATATATATATATATATATATATATATATATATATATATATATATATATATGGTATAAAAATAGGTTGTAGCCAAAGATTTTCCAAAGTGAGTTGGATAGGATTGGTGTGTATGGCAATTGGGAAGATCCATCACAATATGATCAATACGCACTCAATATTGAATTGAAACAACTACACCACGCTGAACGTAGTTGGGTCAAAACCATCAATGATTTGTCAAGGTAGCTGACGTTCTTTAGCTGCAATGGATGGTGGGTGGACTCCGAGGGCGACAGTCATACTATAATGGTAAAGTATTAAGTACTCGTTGACTACATCGGTATTATGATCCTCATGCCTCTCTCATAAACTTTTTGATCGAGAGATTTCCTTTTATCTTCCTCTTTATTTCTACTTTTCAATTTATAGTAGAGAGTTATAGTTACGCCGGCGACTTGAATTTGCTGCCTAAAATGACCCATCGGATTCTGGCATATTTTATGGTAAGAATTGAATGTTCCTCGATCTGTATTTTCATCTCCACAGATCATGTGCTGAAGAGTGTAGCTGTGGATATTTTCATATTTCTCACTTGGGGAACGTCTGGAGGGCGCCGAATTAAGTTCCGTAAATATCAATTCAATTTATTTCACTCTATCGCGTTTGTATTTCTTGTTACGGCCAAAACATGCACCATCGAATTAATGATTAAAGATCCTAGGCCTTTTTGGAGGAATGCCGTTTCTGGACATTTGGAGTCGATCTAGCGGTGTCCGTCCGTCTGTTTGTTATTATCAAACTAAGATCAAGTTATCGTCCGCCTGTCCGTCTGTTGTGATCACGCTACAGTCTAAACGAATTTAGATAGGAAGCAAAAATTTTGCACAGATGGGCTATATCGGTCCAGGATATCGTATAGCCCCCATATAACGGCACCCCCCCATTATTCGGTGTTTTGAAGATGTTAGCCGCATTTTTCAGTGGAATTGTCTGAAGTTACATTTTTCAACGGAATTGTCTGAAATTGTACACAAGAGGTTCTTTATGAGCACTTTACTCCCTGACAGAGAATTCTCTATATATCCTCCATATAAAGGTACCCCCGATATTTGGTATTTTGATGATTTTAGCCATATTTTCCAATGGTATTGTCTGAAATTCCACACAAGGAGTTCCTTGTGATTATTTTATCCCCTGGAAGATAATTATCAATATAGGTGCACGATATGGTATAGCCCCAATATAACGGTACCCCTCAATATTCGATATTTTGATGATTTTAGCCACATTTTTTAATGGAATTGTCTGAAATTCCACACATAGATTTGTCTATATAGGTCCACAATATCGAATATCCACCATATATCGGAACCTTCCGATATTAGGTATTTTAAAGATTTTAACTGAATTTTTAA